TTAAAAAAAAATATGGATAGGCTTTTTGCTGAAATGAAAAATAATATAAATGTATGAAATGTAGATTCAATGTTCATCTGGGAAATGAGCTTTTTGTGCCCTTTTGCACTTTTATTTATTATTTTCAGGAATGAAATGAATGCATAAAAAATTGGAAATATTATTTTTTACAGACTGTGAATTTGAGCTGAATCTATTATCAGAGATTGAAGTCTGATAAGCACACAGGTAGGTGAATTTATAGCACATTTCAGGTTTTTATTAAAATATTTAAAATTCAAACGGTTTTGACATTCAATATTTTTTATAAGAGGTTCAATTTTCTGAGGATGGAGCAGTGCTGCTCAAGCTTTGATCTACGATACAAATGTCATTTCTGAGGATGTAGCAGTGCTGCTCAAGCTTTGATCTACGATACAATTGTCATCGCTGGTATCAGTTCCTATGGATAAGTTATCCTAGATATAATACCCTATCCTCCACCTAAGGTTCCTTTAAGGCAGTATGGGGTAGAATGTGGTTGAGATAGGGTATCCTAGGGGTGGGTGAGCAACCTATCCTGGGGAGTGTAGTGAGAAGATGTTCTGGGTAGCTTCAGAAACTAACCTTTGATTCAGAAAGATTATCAAATGACAAGTAGTTCCAGCAAGCAGTTAAAAATATTATTTTTCGTAGTTTTACACCCCTTAAAATCCAAAATGGTGGCGATATTCAAGAGTGACTCCCGAATTTATCAACTAAAATTGAAGAACGCGGCAAAAAATTCAAAACTCCAATCACAGACATCCTGAAGATTTTTAAATTAAAAAACATTCCAGCTAACTTCACAAAAGTTTCAAACAATGATACAACCGACACAATTATATATTCGCTTCCGAAGCTCCCAAGCCATTAATCAATGAATAATTAAATTTACTTAAAAATCAACGTCATTTTCAGCATATCAAAATTTCAGTGATTTTTAATGCATCATCAGTCACTCTTTTGTTCTATTATGACTTTTATATAATTTTCAATCATTTTTGAATTTAACTTTTTTTTGTCAAATTTATTGAATGAAATAAGTGAGCAATTTATTGAATGTTGCATTTTAATTGGAATGCTTTATTGAAGCAACAGATATTGACATATTGATTTAATTGAATTATTTTTTTATTTAAAGGCTTTTCGACTTTAATCTTTTAAATTGGATTGAAACTTGATTTGAGATTTTTTTTATATTTAAAATCCTTCAAAATAATTTTTTAATTCTATCAAAATTAGTTTCAAAATTGATGTGAAATTAAAAGTGATATTTAGACGAAAGTTGCTACAGACTGAGACGCATCCAACGTGATACCAAACCTCCTGTACCCCCCTATGATAATTTTAACCCCCTCCTCCATGCAAGTCAGCAATGTACCAGCTACCAGCTCAGTTAAGAACCAGTCACCACCACGAATCTCATTCCAGATTATTCAACATTGTGTCAGTAAAGCTTCAAATTAATAAAGTATCTAAAAAAACATTTCATTTGATTGTCATCGATTTAGAATGACTCGTTATTCATTCACTTTAATATTCTGTCAATTCTGCACAATTCAGTCCATTTTATTCCAATTATGTGCCTTTCCTCTTCAATCTTCACTACAATCATACACACACATTGTAGCTTAATAAGTAGTAAGTTCCTTTTCATCCAATCAATAATCTCTCATCCCCAAAAGTCTTCCTACACACCCAGCAATTTTTCTTTTGTTCTTTCTGTATCTGCCCAATTGCCACAAGCATTTTTCATCTTTGCCTAAATCAGAGATGGGACTTTGGTTGTCTTGGACTGTATTTAAGCTTCGTGAGTAGTTGTGCTGTTGACAAAGCAGTCAATTTTGGTAATCAAATGACAAATATTTGTGAGCAAGGGCTTGTTTCTCGCATTATACGTCAGGGTTCACCTGACCTCCTGCTCAAACATAGACCTACAGTTTATATTGAGATCAGAACAACTCGTATCATAGTTTCTCATATACCAATAGTATGTTGCAAAGAACGGACCTAGCGGTCAGCAACAATTGACTCTCAAAGGTAGATACGAAAAAACCAGCAGAAGGAACTCAATGGACAGAAACCTGTTCAAAACCTAGTGCAACACACACACACAGGAGCCATCTCTGACCAAAATGAGAAAGAAGAAGACTGACACAAGAAGATTGCAGCCACAGATATATACATATTCTCATTTCCTGTCAAGTAACGCACATAATCAGATGTTTCCATTTCTAGCATTTTTTCATTTCTTCCTTTCAGTCATTTACGCCCCATCATTTAAAAAGGAATGAAGAATTTCTTTATAAAAAGGCTGTTCCTGAATGCTAAGGATCAATTTATTTATTTATTTGGGTTAGCTAGGGAACAAGCTTGTATCTCTATCCAAAAATAGCAATATATTATGTTTATCTCAACGAACGTAAACGTCATGCTTGCACTCAATAAAACTCATTAATTTATTTATTTTTGTGTAAAATTTTACACGAGTGCTTTTAAAGCTGTAAATAAAATTAATGAATATGTTACTTAAAAAATTACTTCCTGCTGTTTTGTTCATGAATGTGTTGTGTTGAAAAAAAAAGTGTTGAAATAATAATGAGAAAGGATGCATATCATTAGTGAATGAATTCACATTGTATCAAGTTTTGTTGGATATAAAAATGGAAATTTTAGCATATCAAATGAAAATGTGGAATGAATAATTTTTTTTGCATCATATCTGAATTCAAAATGTGAAATAAATTGCAGGGACTTGATTTTGGTGAGGTTCTGCATTATTCTTAAACCCTAGATTAAGCTACATCTGGTTTAATCCTTCAGGTTCCACATAACGACACTAAACAATCAAAAATTTGTTTGTTTCATGGGAAAGCTGTCTGCAGTCTGCAAATAACAGCTTGTTCCCGATAAGTAAGGTTCCTAAAGACAGAGGTCGTTCACTGATGAAGTCCAAAATCAACGGTCATTTTTCAAAAAAGAACTATGGATTTTTAGAAATTTCTATTCATCTTATAATGAACCCCCCTCCTCCCCCCCTGGACGTCATAAGTGAACGGCCCCTCAAAAATACACCCCTGATTTCATCCAAAATCCAATCTCACCTCCACATATCCCTGTATCAGCATAGCATAATATTTTATCAGATCACAAATTTCCATTTCATAAATGAACGTTGCATGCTGCCTACGCTTCATAGTCAGACATAAAAAAAAGCTTTGTTCCATTATCACAATTGACACATGCACTATTGTCGATTTACCAGACTGTATAAAATTGTAGAAACACTGAAAAACTATGCCTTACATAACGCAATTATCATACTTTTTTTTTGCACCTGCCATGAATTGTATCTGACATGATGAATAAAAAAAATATACAGCCATATGCACGAGTGTTAGGCTGTATGAATATCATAATAAAAAAACGTGAATTGAATTGAATGAGACGATGCTTTGTACATCATTGAATTTCGTTCCTCCCTGCTGATGTCGTCGAGGAAGAATTTGAGAAGTGAATAACGAATAAAATAACGAAGATCCAAAAACTTTCTTTTATATGCAGCGATTTGTGACTTGAATAATAAAGATTGATTCTCAATTTCATTTTCAGCTTTAGCATATCCGCATGGATTCGACTGATGTAGAAAAAGTTGATGATTGAATAGATTAAAGGTATCAGTAGGGTTACCATCTAATTTTCATGAAAATACAGGACTTTTGGTAAAGTTTTTCGAAAAATACAGGACATAGAGTAAAATTCGAAAATTAACGGAAATTTTCGTGAAAAAAATACAGGACCTGGAACAAAGTTTTCAAATTGATACAGGACAGGGTTTTGAAATACAGGACTGTCCGTTGTAAAACTACGCAGATGGTCACCCTAGGTATCAGGAAGGCGGGAGGTATTTTGAATGTTCTCAGAATGTTATTTATAATAATTTTTCCCTAGTGACTTATGCTGTTATTTTTCGTGGCACTCTCTTGGCTTACTAGCAGACTTTGTGGATGAAAGAGAGCCAGAGTAAGACTGAAGAACTCTTGAATTGGTTTTGTTGAAAAGGACTGTAGAGTCCTGAATATCCCGAAAAAGCAGAAGGTGTCAAAGGATAGAGCTATCTTTAGACGTTCTCTAAGCGGCAATAGGCCCACGTGCGCCCCAGCCAAAGAAGTAAGTTAGGAACTATCTTGGCTACTTCTTTATATTATTAAAAAAAGAATATTATTTCAGGTGAATAAGTTTCACTTTTAAAATCTTGAGAATTTTGAAGAATTTCTGAGAGTCAAACCACGCTTCCCCACGACAACACCCCTGCACCAGAAAATGGACAACGTCTGAAATATTCTTAAAAATTCACACCGTACTTAAAAAAAATGCTTATTTTGCTTAATTTAATTTAATTTTAATTCACATATAATCAGTTCCGTCACACATAAGATGACAACGACTTTTCATGTATATTTGGAGCTCGACTTTGGTGGAACATTCACAAATTCTGCAGCGTGCATGATTACTTCATGTGGAACTCTCGTTGGTTTGATGGAACCTATTTTAAGTAAATAAGACATGACTAAGTTAATTCTCAGTTTTTCCACTAAATGCTTACCTGCTTTGACACAACTGATTGCGAAGATAAAGGCAATCAACACGAAAATTGCTGTGAATTTCATTTTTAAAAGTTTTCTTCTTGTTGCTTTGAGTTTGTAACTTCAAATGATGCTGTCTGGTTGCATTTGACTGTCATTTTATAGTTCTCATAGTTCTCATGACTGTCCTCTTAAAGTCGTCAAACCAAAGCAAAATAAAAAAATGGAGAAGTAGTTTAAGGTCAAAATTATGTTTATTTTAAGTTCATGAAGTTTGAACTTATTGGCACTGAAAATGTGATGATTATCTGCATTGAAAAAGGATTTCGTTATCTGCTGTGCTGATTCATTAACTATAAACTTGTCATTGATTATTTAAAATAAATTAAAAGTAGTTCAAGTTTAAACAATATTAATCAGTATCAAGGATTCAACGGTCGACGAGGGACACATTCCTACTTATTAGAAGATTTGGGATGAAGTGTCGTCAAAATCATGGTTTTGATCGCACAGCTAACTGTAGATTCTGCTTTTAGGCAGCAACAGAATCATGACGAGGCTTAGCTTAGTTGATTAATCATTAGCAATGGAAACGTATGTAACGGAGGGCGGAAGTCACTTTCATAATTGTCAAATAATTAGGCCAAAATAAAAGTATTGCAGTCGTTATTTTGTTCATTGAGAATGTTACAGTAGCTGACTGTGTGGATGGCAAAAGATCAGAAAAGATAGCAAAGAATCACTAGCAACCTTAATATCCCAAACTGGCAGAAGGTTTCAAAGCATTGAGCAGTCTTTAGACGATCTATAAGCATGGCAATCAGCCCAAGTTCGCCCAAACAAAAGAGTAAAGTAAATAATAAAGTTAAGCTACAAATAGTTTGAAGAACAAACCTAATGTGAACATATTCCAATCGCAAACAAGAGATAAGCCAATAACTTTAAAGAACAAAATGTAAGTAAGTTATTTTCTGCCTTCGACCACGACTTGTATAATTATTTGTTACGTCTGTCAACCTTGCATTCCAGTTGTTTAAACTATATTTTAAAACATGACAAAAGTAAAGTCTTGCTAGTGTTTTGATTGCCTTAGTCAATTTTATTCTACAATTATCATCATCATAAAGTTTTTTTCAAATAATTCACACGACTATTAAATGGGAACAGGTGAGTTTTCAATTGGTCTAGAACGATAAGGTGGGACAGCAGCTTCTGGTCTTGGACGATAAGGTGGAACATCAGCTTCTGGTCTTGGACGATAAGGTGGGAAATCTTCAATTTTCTGTATTACTTCTGGTCTTGGTCTTGAAACAGCAGGTTTTAATGGAGGAACAATTGGTTTGTCTGGTTTTTCTAATGGACGTTCAGGTCTTTCCAAAGGTTTAATGGATCCTGTTAAAAATTCAAAAATTTTACGTTAATCAATTAAAACTTCAATTGAATTGATTACGCAGACGATACTCTAGAAAAGGCTTGGCAAGTCTTACCTCCTTCAATGCAGATTGCAAATGCAATTAAAATAAAAACTGCAGAAAATTTCATTTTGAATCAATTCTTAAGTTTCTTTTGAAATTGTAACTTCAAATGATGCTGATCGATTCCGTTGCATCGGTTTTTATAGCAATCACACGCACAAAGAAAGAATAAATAAAAATATAAAAATAGATTTAGGTTAAGATTGTGTTTTTTATAAGTTCAAGTAATTCGTCCTTTCTTTCAATAAAAATACAGCTGTTATCAGTCATATTGTAGCTTTATCAACTGCGTATGATTCAATAATATTTTTTTATTTTAAAAATAGACCAAAAGTAGATCAATTTCAAGGAATAAAATAATTTAAATGTCAGCTGCACCAACATTCAAAAAATAGGCAGGAAATAATCAAGTTTTGGAAGTTCATGATGTCAACATCAATTTTAAGCTAATGGAACATAAGTCGTTCACTAATGACGTCCAGGGGGGTCAGCAAGAAAGGAACAATAGAAATTTCTAGAAATCTATTGTTCCTTTTTGAAAAATGACCGTTCTTTTCGGACGTCATAAGTGAACGATTCCAAATTGGATTGGATATGAAATATTTAAATACTCTAATTTTTAAGAATAATTTCAATAATGACTTAAAATTCTAGAAATTAAAAATTCTTAATTGCTGTGAAATTTGAAATCATTAAGGTAAGTAATTCCTACTTTATTCTATTCATAGAAGAGGTCAGGGACATACTCATTAGTTTTTTCAGTAACGTATAAATCAACTTCATCACTCCAACTCTTTCAATTGAAGAAAATAAAGAAAAAATCATTGAAAAAGATGATTATCAACCCAGCCAACCCATAACCTCCTTGGTAATACCAAAATCAGCAACAGCTGAAATTAATTCTGTATTAAAAATTATAAATAAATTAATTTCATTCACCAAAATAGCACAAGTCGGTTAATCGATTATAAATCCGGCACCAAACCGTCGATAGTGGCAAATCAAATCCAGCATCATGCGAGAACTACGCAAATTTGGTGCTGGATTTCTATTCGATTAGCCTACTTGTGCTATTCGGGTCATTTTTACTTCATGATTAATTTAATAAAAATCAGAAAGTATATAAAGAAAGTAATTAGTAAGTTGGCTAAACCTTACAATCAGCTTTGCTTCCTTGACTTAACGCAGAATTTCAATTCAATTTAGAAAGCTTTTGTGTCGCCAGTTTTGATTCGAAAATAATAAGCCACATAAAAGATTTCCTTATCTTTTTTGGAATAAACTTTAATGGTTGATTTATATTCACCGTCAGGAAACCAAGTTCCACTTTTAAGATTTGGCATATTTTTATGTGTGTTTCTCGGACAAGACTCTTCGCTCATTGTTTCCGTGTAGTTAATATTCAATGGACCAGGCAAATATGGACAATCATTACAAAGTTGTGGGAATTTTTTTCGACATGCTTGAACCCAGTCTCTACCGAAAATTGGTGGATTAGCAAAACCCTCACAGACATTGATTCTCGAAAAGTTAAAAAGTCGATTGAAATTACGACCTCCAGGTGCTTTAAATGATAAGCCGATATCAAGCTTTAATTTTAAATTCTATTAAAAATTGTAATTTTAAATTTTATATCAACTTACAAAAGCATCATCCATTTTTGATATAATTACGCCTTCAAAAGATAACATTGAGACATAGCGAGCGATTGGAATTGTTCGACATTTTTTAATTATCAAAGTTTTGTTGCTCGATGAACATTCAGATTTATAGTGATAGTGACAAAACTAATCAAAAAAAATACAAATAATAATAAAAAATTAATTTATAATATAATAATATAAGAGAAATGATGAATGAAAATTCAAATTCAAATTCAAAAGAAAATTTTAAACTTGCATATGCAGCAGTTGTTAGCTCCAAAAATGTTATAAACATTTAGAATTTTAAATTATTCATATCTTGTGTCTTGATCATTCTCATCACGACTGGAAATAAAATGAAGTGAAACTTAAACTTGAGGATATTAACAATTTGCAAACTTAAAATTTTAAAATCAAAAATTTAATTTTTCTTAAAATTTTTTTAATTGTTTAAACCTAATTTTATTTTTTTAAAAAAAAAATCTTCTACATCCGTTTTTCAATAATTTTAGGAAGTTCTAAAGTCCAACCACAGCTACAAGTTCCCCTAAAAAGCCATTCTATCGCTAAATTTTAGAATTGGAATTAGAATGATTTATTGTTTGCGCTCTGTAGTCACCGTCCGGATACCAAGTGCTACTTAACAAATTTGGCATAAATTTATTCGTCATATTTGAGCAAGATTGCTCAGTCAATGGTTCTGAGTAATTTAGAGCCAACAAACCAACTGGATATGGACAGTTATGACAGACATTAGAAAAATACCTTTTGCAGTTGTCTATAATTCCTCTTAAAATCAATGATGGATTTTTTAAAGTTTCACAAACATTAATTTTTGACAACGCATAAAGTTGATTAAAATTTCGAGATCCTGGTGCCTTGAATGAAAGCGTTATGTTCATCTAAAATTAAGAAGAATTATGAAATTAAAAAATTTTCAACTTTTTTGATTTAAAATTACAAAAAATTGAGGAATTGGATTCAACACTTCAGCCTCAACGACGAGCATTCCATTGTAACGAGCAACAAGAACAGTTCGACATTTTTTAACTATCACTGTTTTATTGCTTGACGAACATTCTGCCTTATAGTGGAAATGGCAATGCTGCAAATAAATTTTGATTGCTTAGAAATTTTAATAAAAATTTCTAAAATTGATTTAATTACATAAGCAGCTCCAATTAAATAAATAAATGTAGTGAAAATAAACAGCTTTAAAGTATTCATGATTAACCTTTCAATGCTTTATTTAAAATGACCTTAAATTTATTTTAACATTCACATTAAATACCAAATTTGAAAAAAAAAGAACAGAACTCCTCGTGTTATTGATCGATGGACGTAAGCGCATTTTTAAGCATAATAAATTTCCATATTGAAAGGCTTTATTATTTAACGTTTTTTTGGAATTCAAATTTTACAACGGCTAGAAAAAATTTGAAATTATAAAGGTATTGTTGAAATTATAGAGGTAAAATAAAATTTGGCCAGGTTACACTGAAAATAAAAAATCATTAATTAAAGTATAAATACATTGTTTTAAGAATTTTAACTATTCGGCCGGCCAATAACTCGATAGAACTGAGCTAATAAAACAAACCTGAGCTCTCTACGGTGTCTGGTTAAAAAGTTTTTCTTGGCCCGAGTAGCCGAACAAAGCGTATTATTAAGCTTTAAGCTAAGAAACAAGTTTTAAAAATGCGCTAAAAACTTAATAATTTGATTTAGACTTTGTAATAAACACACACAACGGTACAATATATTCTATCGTTGATCAGAATCGCAGTGCCTCCAGTTCGTCGCAATGTGTAGTAACACATAGCTTGGATGAAACCCTCTCACATTATTATTGTCATCAACATGTATTGTCAATATGACCAACACGAGTTTGTTCAATTTTTTTTTTTTTTTGAAGACAGAAATTCAGGGTTGGAACCTTTGTGGGGTTTTAAGGTCACACTTCCTTTGCTGTCCTAAAGTCACCGGCTGAAACCAAGATCCACTGTTAAGATTCCAAATTTTTATAGGGCAAGTATTGTCTGTCAATATTTCTGCATAGTTAAAATTTGATGGACCAGGCAATATCGTAAAGCCGTGCATGCAAAGTTGTTGAAATTTCAATCAATGCCAAAAATTCTTAAATTTTTTAAACTTTTTCAATAAATTTCAAAGCTTTTATTTAACGACTTAAACGAACAACTTTTTAAAATGAGTTGGGGATCATCTCTTTGGCGAATCCTACAATATTATTTAAAGAAAATATATCACCAAGCCTTAGTGTCACCAGTTTTAAACCGAAAGTATTCACATGAAACATTTCCGAATCATCTCGTGAATAAAGCTTCATTGATGTTCTATAATCGCCATCAGGAAACCTACTTCCGCTGATTAAAGTTGGAATATTTTTGTACGTATTTTTCGGACATGACTTTTCATTTACAGTTTCTGTATAGTTAAATGCAAGTGGACCTGGAAGAACTGGACATTTTCTACATAGTGCTGGAAATTTAACGATACATGCTAAAATCCATTCTTTGAAAAATATTGGTGGATTTGAAAAGCCTTCACAGATGTCAATTTTGGAGAAATTGAAGACTCGATTGAAGTTTCGAGCTCCTTGGGCTTTAAAGGCAACAACAACGTCAACCTTAAAAAGAGAAATGAGGTTAAATGGTGATCAAGCTCCTCGCAGCTTCTCAATCTGGTGAACTATAATTTTAATTCTGTAATTATGTAAGGTTAAGGCTATGTGGCTGAAGAGTTAGGCACTTCCAGCAAAATAACCTGAAAATAAGAATTTTTAGGAACAACTTACATAAATTTTATGAATCTTGACGATATATTCTGCTTCAATTGACAACATCGACACATAACGAACAATCGGAATAGTACTGCACTTTTTGATCAACACACTTCTATTGCTTGATGTACATTCTGATTTGTAGTGGTAATGGCAGTACTAAAATAATTTTTTTTTAATTAAATGATTATAAATTGCAAGTCAACTTACATATTCAGCATCTGCAATATTAGAAAATATCGTCAAACTTATAAGCAGCAAAAAATTCAAGATCTGAATTTTGTAAAGGGGTCGCTCACTTATGACGTCTGAATTTAACGGTCATTTTTCATACAAGAACAATGGATTTCCAGGAATTTCTATTGTTCTTTTCTTGGTGACCCCCCCCCCCCCCCCCCCTCCTGAACGTCATAAATGAAAGGCCCCAAAGTTGCTTTAGTATTTGAACCTACAAAAATAATAATTCCATCATATTCTGAATAATTGGTTTTGTGACTGAGATAAGGCAAATAATGTGACGGTTACCAAAACATCCTCGAATTATGACGTCAATTTGATGTTCTGGAACAAAAAAAAATTAAAATCATTTTTTGAAAATCTATTTTTATTTTTATGAATGAACAGCTTTTATGATAATTGGAAGCAAAGTTACACATGCGGAAAAACTGTTTTATAAA